CCGATCGAACTTAATATCAAATAAATGGTCAAAAGATTCAATCTTTTGTGTTTTGCTCTCATTCATATAACCCTTTGCTTTCCTTCTAAAGCACCACTTTTGACCTTCCCCAACTTGATGTTGCGTTGTCCAAAGGTTTCACCTTTAGTTGTTGTGTCATAAAACATAAAGTGACAACTTTAGTGTCTTTTGCATTCCTTAAATAACGGTTCTTCCATCCATGATTCCTTTTCTTCTGCTGTACCTTCAATTGTCTTTATACCTCAATGTAATTTTGATTACCATATGAGATTGATCAATTAAACCATGGATAGAGGGGAGAGAAAAAGACGGAAGCGGAGATATTAGAGAAAGGGCAACAATGGAGAGCACAGAGAAAGAAAATAATAGGGAAGGAAAAGGAAGGAGTAAAGGGAGCAAACATGAAAAGAGGGAAGGGAGTGTGACTGTGATGGTTGATTGTTGGCTATAGAGAGAGGAGAGTAGAAGAGGGGGAAGAGAAGAGGAGGGGAGAGTGTGGTAGTAGTGGGTGTTGGCCGAGAGCAAGGAATGGAGAGAAAAAAAGAGAGAGAAATGTGATGTGAAAGAAGAGGGAAGAAAAGACTACAGCAAAGGGGATGCCAACTTTGCACAGTGGAAGGGAAGAAAAGAAGGGGAAAGAGAGAAGAGATAAAAGAGGGCAATGGCGGAACACTCACGAAGAGAGGGGAGAAAGAAGAGGAAGAAACAGGGAAGTCAGAGAAAAGAGAGGAAGAAACGAGGAGACTTATCAAACTGGGAGAGACGTAACCAGCAGTGCAACATTAATGACAAAAATGCTAGGGAACAGCACCAACACTGGATGTGGGGTTAAGTTTGGTGCCAGCCAAAAGGAAGAGAGAATTGTGTTTGGGCCGGATTGAGGGTTTAGGTCGCCCAAGCCAACCAAGGTGAGTGCTTGGAACATCCAGAAATTCCCAGGGGATTAGGTCGCCAAGACCAGCCTAGGTGAGCACTTGGTATGCCTTGAGGCACCAAGGGTATAGGACCCCTGGGTCATCCTACAAGCACTTGGGAAGCCCAGAGCCTAAATTGAGTCACTCACCTAGGCACAGAGGGCATACTTTTTGGGCTAGTCCATGATTGTTTTTCTCCGAGTATCACCATAGATAATACTTCCCATTAGTTGTACTTACTAACATGAATTTCGATTTTGCACAGCCAAGATTCTTTCATACTAAATTGGCATGATAAAGGAAGTAGGGCCCATGTCATGTAAAGAATGTCCAGCTTTATGTAATGAACCATTTTTGAACTCTTATGGGATCACTAAAACTATTCATTTCAAGTTGCTTCACAGTTTTCCACATATTCACATGGCACCATGAAGGGCATCAAACTTATTTTTCAATTTGCTACACATTTTTCCAGCATTTCACATTGCATCATGACAGGCATCCCCTTCATACTACTTTGGCTATGCTATTAAGCTTGAGAAAATAATAACTATTTGAATAATACACTGTTGACCATTTGCAGGAAAATAATTAACTCAATTTGTGATAGCGAAAGCATGTCAAAGTTTAAGCATCCTATTTATCAATGGCATAATCAAATTGAGAAAATTTGTAAAAGTTTCTCTTATCTTCAATTGCAACAATTGGAGACACAACAACTCAAGTTATATAATATAGACCTTTAAACAATATATTTTAGAAATCATGAAACAAAAATTAACTAGTGGCATTATACAATGAGCAATCAATTGTATTCAGCAAAAATATGAATGGACCTTCAAGTGTTTTTACAAAATAATAAAACAAAGTTATCTTTCCCATTCTTTATACCAACCCATAGCCTAAACTTTGCCTTCAAAAAAGGCAATATACATATGCGCATATTTGGGAAGCAAATTAGTGAAATATAACTACAGTTTGCTGTCATCTCTTGTTTTATAATCTTTATGAGTTTAATATTTTTTTGGTTGATTTCATTACCACAAAACCACCCTGAAAAATGAAATAGTTTAATTTCTGAGTCGTCAAAAAATTGCCATAAAAGAATTGGCTTCAATATGTCAGTCACTTAAGAATTCTTCCAAGATAATTCCAAATTTAAACATGATGATCATGTATTGCATTCAATCTCCAGTTTGAACCTCAAATGGAACCTCTTTTAGTTGTCCAAATATAAAAATGATATTAGATAGGAAGATGCAGGATCGTCAGTACATTATTATTAATGAAGATTCTACTAAATTATTTGACAACTTTGACAGTTCTCTAATGTATCATTGAATTATTTTGGTCCCCAAGACACAACCTTTTGAATTATACTGAAATTTCTTGACAAATCATTGCATTTTCAATAAAAGAAAGTTCAACTTCTAATATTTATAAATTTTTTGACATGTAAGGTAGAAATGTCAATATCAACAGGGTGTGAACTACAGCTATCCAACATAGACAACGACGTTAAATATTTTGAATGCCATGGATATGACTCGTGATATAGCCAAACACCGAGTAAAAGATCATTTAATTGAATTTTGTTAATCTAATGAATAAGCATTCCATCTTGAAATCCTTCCAAATTGCTTCAAAATACAAGTGATAAGTTTGTGGAAAAACCCAAGGGCCAAGACCTCCATCTTAGTTTAGAAAGTGTTATGTTAGTGACTGCAACCTTAGTTCTACCCTTTCCTTTGAATATCTTAATCAGTATATGAATACATACATGACTTGTATGAAGCTACTCCACTGAGTACATGACATCAAGAGCATGGTTGTATTTAACAATCTAAGAGTGGTGGAATTTGCATCAATCTGTTCTTGCATTCTCCAATATGTTCTACTACATGTTAATCAAGGGCAGTGTATGTCGTGCAACTCAATTTGTAATCAATAGACCAATTGATCAGATCCTAAAAATATCATGTCATGGAGTTGCTACATGAAAATGAACGTGTAGTCTGTGATAACACTGAAAACATGTGGGTGAGCCAGTGTTATGAACAGGTTTCCAACCATTATTAATAAAATTCTGACTACTTAACTGATGCCCTAGATAACTAATGAATGTTAGTCAAAACTGATATCCGAAAACCATATAGTGGAGCATGCCATATCGTTTATCCCGTCGTTTCCATGTCTTATTAGTGACTGTAGGAAGGTGATTCAGATTTCATTCGTGTGAAAACAATCTGTAACCTATTGATTGATTCCATCTTGAGGCACAAAACTAACGAAGATTCAACCATGAGATAGAAACCTAATAAAACAGATTAAATCAAACAAACCTACTCAATGTGTGCATAGCCAAACAAAATGATAGATTTAACTAGTTATACCAACTTTTGCGACGAATTAGCTAGCATTCAATTTCAGGTTCCACGAAAGGGGATACAAACCGGTCGGGCAAATTCGAGCCTCATCGCATGTCCTTGGATTATAGACCCCTTTAAGGCTTCCTTCGCGGCCTTGGCTTCGTCGACAGTCCGGAAGTACACGAACGTGTAACTCCTCGACCCGCGCATCGTCGTACAATCCAACGCGCCGTGCTTGGCGAAGACGGCCATCACGTCGGGATCGGTGATGTCAACCGGAAGGTTCCCCACCCAGAGGGTGTTCGAGGGGGCTTCATCGTTCTCCGGCTCCTTGGACGGAGGAGGCCGGCGGAGGTCCGAAGACCCGCCAGCCGACTTGTTCAAGGGCATCGACGGATCCGCCAAACCCTCGACGATCTGCACCGAATCCACAAGATCTTGGGCTACAAAAAAGGCTCGTCCAGAATCGACCTTCTCGAGGGGAGATACCGAGAGCGGCCACGTTAATGCGGTGGATCGAAAGGAAAGAGAGAGGAGGGGGCAGGTGGAAGAAACCCTAGACCGAAGGGAAGGATTTGTCGCCCGTGGCTTATTATGGGAACTAGGTAGCCATTGCCCTGCGAGACCGCGAGGGACGCTTCTAGACGCGACTAGGGCACGAGTTTAGGTGCGACAGGCCGGCGATGCGCTTTTGGGTGCGGGTGGTACTTGGGTCGGACTTATTAGGATCCTCGGGCGCCTCCGCGTCCGTCACTTCAATCCGAAACCGAAAAATCTGGTGCAAGTTCAAATCACGCAGCAATTCATGAAAACTATCCACTTCCATTTAAGGTTCCAATTGGAATAATTGACGTATTACATTTGGTAATCGCAATCAAGACTCGAGCCAAGACATGAATGACATATCCTATTGTTCGCGAATCCAAATATTAATCATGGATTAATCAGCTTACCTATTAGATACCATATGTCAATTAATGACTATTAATCTGCTCCTTTACTCGTATATGACCTGAGAGCAATCGTCCGGCCAATTTAGTTATCAAATTTTATTAGGAATTTGAGTTTTAATTATAATTGATGAGAGACTTTATTTCTAAATTAGATTTGTTGGTTCATAAAGATTATATATATGTTAAGTTTTAATTTCTTTGCTTTGGATAAAAAAACGAAGAGGTAAAATTTATTTTAGCTTTTGACCATGAACCGACCTTATGATTTACTTGTGTCTAAAATAATGATATACTAACTCATAATAAATTATTAATATAATAATATATATTTTAATTAAAAAAATTCAATTTAACCCTTGTAATTTTGATTATAGACCATTTAAATCCTTATGATTTTGTTTGTATCTAAAGTAACTCATACATTTTAAAAAACATAACATATAAACCCTTCCCGTCAAGTCTGAGTTGACAAACATTAAAATCTACTTATATGATATATTGAGCCAGATGAAAACAACGAGACAAAGGTAGAAGAAGTCGGAGGTAAATGTAAGGAGAGTTAGACTACTATGTCGTAGGCACGACGAGTGGGGGTGTAAAAAAAACGAAATGAAAGACGATAGGGATAAAAACGCCCATGAGAAGAAAGAGAGACCAGAAGACCTTATCATGAACTTAACGTCAACGTGGGACAGGAGAGGCGGTGGGGAAAATACGGTCTATCAACTGTGCAACAGTATATAAGAGCCTAAAGCTTAAATTTTAGGGAGGAAGAGTTCCTGAATCGGCCTTCTTACTTGCATCCACTCTCACAGTTTGATTGCTGGTTCTAAAAGATTTAACAAGTCTTCTCACACTTTGATTTATAAAAGTCAAATCCACGAGGCGAGTTCTTACCTGAAATCTCCTCATTCTTCTGTCTTCTTAGTCGCTAACAGATCTGCTTCAATTCAGCTTGAGTGATATTATAGCAACACTAACTTAGCAAGTATCTCTTTGTGAAAACACATCATGAACGGATGGGATTCACATGTAGAACATGTTCCTCATGAGCTCCTATTGCTTTCTTGTTGAGGGAGTTTGCAAAAGTATTATCCCTGTACAATATGGTATACCCTCATAAAACAACTGCTTAAACAATTCAGTCCAGGAGGTAGCTTTTCAATAAATCTTTCCTCGTACCTGAAAGTGAAACAATCACAGTCAAAAAGCTTGAAGAGGAAATCTTTGGGGCTGGTGCTACCAGTCTGTAGTCTGTAATTTTTGGCACCATAGCAAGTCTTTCCAAGAATTAATGTATGCACAAGATACAACATTACAGCTTTTAATCTTTCCATGGAAGAAACGTCTCATATTTGTGTAACTGATATGACTGACACAGGGAAGCCAACTAAATTACAGTGACTTCACCAACTATTCAAATTGTTCACAAAGAAAAAGTTCCAGAAACAAATTTCAATTTGGAAAACTGAAAGCAGCAGAAGATTAGAAGCAATGATCACTTAGGTGCTAGAGAAAAAAAAAAAACCAAGAAAAAGTATAAATAGTTGCCAAAGTCGACTGAAGCTTGTCTCGCAATGCAAAACAATTATTATATGTTCATTCATTTCTGCTCTACAACAACCAAGTTTATCTGGAATTAGAATCAATGGTTTTTTTTTATTCCCCAGTACAAGAGCATGTTATATGCTAATATTTTTTCCCATTCATTTATATTAGAATCAAAGTAAACTATAGCCTCTTGAGAGAGGATATGCTGGGGGAGCAGCAGGGAGAAAACATAAATAAAAGTCTTGGACCATTGAATGCAAAGTATATTTTGGGCTTTATGAAATGAAGCTATAACAGAATCAAATTTTTAAATCATGTCAATAATATGTATGACTGTAGGAGGAGCAGGACATTGTAGTTGTTACATGTCAAGAAGAACATATAAGGATACAAGAGAAGACCAAGAATGTAGAAGCACAAGCGTATTACATGCAAGTTGACAACATTAAACAGATCTTAAAAGGTAATTTTTCCAGAAATACATACCCGTGAACTGCTTTAAAAGTTATCCTTTGCTCGGCGAATGATGCCCAAGGCTTGTGCATCACTTGCAGCAAGTGGAATATTCAACTTTTGGCGGATCTCAGGACTAAAGGTGCGCAGAAATGGATTACACTGTTTTTCCTTCTTTATCGTTGTTGGAATCTAGGACATCATAACATGTCACTTGTTAAATTCAAGATAGATCACAAAGGCACATTGAGCTTATCATTATAGGTAAACTAATTTCACACTGAAAGGCTTCGTGCAATAATATGCAAAAGCACTTTATCGAGCCAACAAATATAGTTTAATTTCTGTTGCACTCTAAGTAGAAAAGGACAAATCTAATCACTGTTTAAGACAACAATTTAGACTGGTTGTGCATAATTACCGTTGGCAGCTTTTTACTGCGAAGACGAGCAACATCTGCTGCATACTCCTGTAGTGCTTCATTGTTGGGTTCTATGGACAAGGCAAACTTAGCATTGCTCTGCCAAGAGCAACAGTAGCATCAGTGCTGCTACATATATTGTGGCCACTCAAATACTATAAGAAATGACTTTATACCATAGTGTACTCATGACCACAGTATACATCTGTGTCATCCGGTAAAGACACAATTTTACGAAGTGATGAAAACATCTGCACACGGATAAATACAATTGTCGGTGATACATATTTTACAAAACTAAGAAGCAACCTTTGCCAATGATCATTTAACTAGAGTCAGCATAACAACATGGAGCACTTAATTCTAATTGGCAAGCACATATTATTTGCAATTCTCATGGACATATAGACAGGCCACAGCCACTAAGATAACCTTCTGGTCTCTTAGATACCTGTACCATGAAGTATGAACAACAAACTATCCCAACTGCTTAGGGTTTGGCTACATGGATGTGTTCTGATCATCATGTTGTACAGATGGTAATGTACCAGTCAATCTTTTAAACAGATGTACTACAGGCATAAAAAGGAATCAACCTTGCACTTCTATTCAAACTATGAGTGTATCCAGTGCGAACACTTCATTAGTCCAAGAAATCCTTCGGTGGTAGTCATTGAAATACAGGATTAAGTATGCATCAGTTATTTTCTTTTCCATTTTAAATTTGATGGATGGAAATTTTCTTGTTTGTTGCTTGATCCACTTTTGTCTTGTTTATGATTGAAGCTACCAAAACAGGAAGCATACTTGCAAAATTAAAACCACTTATTATATCAAATGAAAACCTGATCTGGGTCTCCTTCAAAAAGTTTGCCGCATGATAAGCTAAACAAGGTGTCACCGGTAAATATTGCTTTACATCCAGGGAAGTAAAAGCTCACGTGACCTGCTTAAATTAAAGAAGAAAAGAATAGTTATATTTATATCACCATTAGGAAGACAAGCTGTATGACACATTGGATATGGAGTATATTGGCTATAGATATCTTTTGTAAATTGAATTACTCTGCATATCTAGCCAAAATTCTGCAGAAGAGGGATATATCATAGAAATTGAATGCATAACATTCATATGACCAAATAGATCTGACCTTTTGTATGCCCAGGGGTCTCCAACACATGAACCTGGTAGCCTGCAAACATCCATGTTTCTCCATCATGCAAGGCTATGTCTATGCCAGGAATTCTATCCTTGTCTTTGGCAGAACCAATCACCTATATTTAGCATATCAGAGTCAAGAATATTGGACAGCGAAAAACTTTATCAGGATAATTAATGCATTCTTACATTTCTGGCATACCCATGCATTAAGAGTAAATAGGACCACTGTCTAGTTCCCAAATAAACTTGCAGAATAAAAAATTCCCATTCTGTTACATCTACATTTTACTTTCTATCTAGGACTTTTAACACATTCTATAATAGTTCCATATATTCCATATTACTTTTTTTTAAAAAATCATAGTAATCAGCAATCACCATGGAAACCCTATTGCCTAGAGTCCATAAATTTCAGACAATCCTTAAAATTATGAATGTATCTTTTATGCGAGGGCATTCATGTTATAGGCAGCTTTCTTTTCTTCTCTCTCAGAGTTGTAGTGAATTGCAAAAATTCTATAATAACAATTCCTTTGTTTCTTAATTATAACCAGTTTTCTCTCCACATCGTTCTTTTATTATCTGTCCTTTTGCTCCTCCCATTGTCTCCCATTGTCTTCTTTTCAGCCTATCAAATTGGCTAGAATTGACAAAATTTAGACGACTCTAGGTGAGTTTGATAAATTTTTTACTGACTTTAACTGCCAATAGTAAGGCAGGCTAATCTACCAAAATCAATCCACCCTGCAAAGTGTTGATTCAGATTAAACTGTCATATTAGAATTGGCAGATAACATGAACTATTTACCAGAAGAATTAATGAAAAATCATGTGGTGTGACAAATAGTGCATGATCTCAGTATTTTATTGCATTCTCTTTGTAGAAACTTCGTTATTCCCCCTCGGCAGAATATGTTTAATAATTAAATTTCATTAGCTCAAACACAATATGAATCTCCTCAAAAACATCATAAACCCAACCAAGAATCCAACTCTTGAAAACTCAAACCTCAGTTTGGTTAATGCAAAGCCCAACTATAGCAGTTGTTGACTTGTTCGTGAACGACTACATCAAAAACCAACATCACTGAAACTTCAATTAGTGTCTATCAAAAGACAAAAGTATGCAAAGGAATAGATACTTGCCAAAATAATACAGATTCCTAGAGAAGTTAAAAAGGCAATAATCAGATGAGAGAGCAAATGTCCATTTTGGTGGAGTCTATTTTAGTCTCAAGCATAGGAAAAAAAATGAAATTTGTCATTGTCATACCTTTGCACCATACCTTGCTTTGAGCTCCATGTTTCCACCAGTATGATCATAGTGATGATGAGTGTTAAGTATATAAGTTAAGCTTTGATTTTTGCGTTCCAATGCATTTATAACAGGTACAGCTTCAGAAGGATCTACTACTCCAACTGTTCCTGTATCTATGTCATGCAAAAGATAAGCGTAATTGTCTTGAAGGCATTGCACCTGAAAAAATGTGCGACATATTAACATCATGAATGTATATGACCCCAGTAGGTGACAAAGTGACGACAGGAAGAGATAGAAGCTGAGGTAGAGATTAAATGTAAAAGTGGATACTAAGGTGGCTTTTACCAAAGACGAGTTTGCAACTAATACAAAAAGCAGATTACAGTCTTAATCCCAACCATTATGCGACCATATTTTTTATTAATTAGGACTTAAAAATGAGTTTATTCCACCTGATTTGATCATACTTTTAGAAGCATTGAAAATCATGAATCTTAAAAGACTATGTTTGCTGGAGAAAGCATCATGAGCACATCATAAGGTCAAAACTCCAGAAATTGTTAGGATGTCATCACTACTCTGTAAATCTCATGGCAAGAGTAGTTTATGATGGTCTCTGCTTTTTTATTAAGCAGAATACTAAGTGAAGGGTGTGACACCACAAGTATTTGTTATATTGATCAATAAGATTAATGTAAGACCTTAACTAGAGCAAGTTACAATTTGTTTTTAAGGCAGAATAATTCAATATTCCTCTGAGAGCCAAACCAACCATATAAATGTATTAAAGTATTAGAAAAATAAATCGAGTTATCAATATTCCCCCAAAGTAGATAATACACCAAACAAACATGATCTTATTCCACGTAAGAAGTGTTAAAGATGCTGAAGGCTCAGTGGAAGTTCAAAATAGGCAATGGCAGTTAAACCAATTGAATAAAATTTCAAAAATATGATCAAGGCAATAGAAAATTTCAAAAGAGATTCAGATATAAAATAATAAAAAAAATAAATAAGATAAACCCAACAGTAAAAATATTTTCCGAAACCCAGCCATATGTTCCTTATTTTGTCATCTTGAAATTTTTTTCAATGACTGTTCCATTTACCATCCTGATCCCTAAAACTTGATCATCATCCTCTAACTTATACCTTTGTCCCTTTCTTAGCACTCATTACCTCATTGGCTTAAGATGACAAGCTATTTAGCACCAATACTCACCATATGTAATTGTTAGTTGAGTTAGTCTAAATCGACCTATTTAAGAAACCTTTCAATTTGTGACCTTTGACTAGGAATGCAAATCTTTTTCTTATATCACTTTTGGATATTCTTTAGTCAGAGAAATAACAGGTGTTTGCGTCTAAAGAAGTACCTGCAAGATCTAGGCTTCGCATGTCCTAGATAATAAGACAAACAACAAAAAACTTGATGAGCATGCTGACATTCTTCGAGGACAACACACAATGAAGGATCATACAGTTAGTTACTTTAAGGAACATAAATTATTCACATATTATCAATGAGTTTAAGAATGACATAGATACATGACTGTAGAGACACCTAATAAAATTGAGAGCATAAAATGGACTTGATGGCTCTAGTGACACTATGCTCACCATAGCTAAAAGGTGAAGAAAATTAAGCAGCTGGCAGCCAATAGTTGGGATCTATGACTTGCAGATTGCAAAGGTAAATATGGAAGAAATCTCAAATTAACTCAAAATACATAGCTGGCAGGTTAGTGCAACACAGTAGTAAACACAATGACAAAAATACAGAAAGCAAAATTTTAAAGACATCAGACACTCACCAATTCAATTTGCAATGAGGACGCCATAGAGGTAATATTGCAAAAGGAAGGAGGGAGATCCAACAAATGATTAGCTCCATGCAAAACTTTGACAGGTTTGACAATTAGTGTACCAAAGCCATAAAGTTTTTTTTTCCCAAACCATTGTTTTCTCATATTTGTCCATATGCTGGGTTGCCCTCTCATCTGTGAAAGAGAGGTTACATTGATATCGAGACAAAGAAAATGATAAAACCCATTATGTGGTGAACATCATGTGTGCTTCATAAATGAGCAAACGGGAAGAAAAACCAGCTCAAGTAATGGCGGAAGAGCCTTCGAGCAAAGACAACAATAGCAGTTAACAGCACAGCATCTAATAAAAAAGTGGCTCCTGCCACCATGGAGTTCTGGGACATTTAGTGTACATTACCCTACCCCCACAAGTCACCTTCAGTACAGCTTCTATGACTCAAAATAACAACCAGGAAAATTGTTGAAGATGCCAGCTTTCTAGGGGATATACTTGCAAAACCTCACATACCTGACGCTATGGTTGCTCTTATCATGGGAACCCGTTTTCAGAGAGATGTTGTACGTCCATTAAACCACTATTTGCCCAGGCAATGGCCTTTTGGGTGGCTACTAAGACTAGTACTGGAATGAATTCTGTTCATTTGGTCCACTAGTCTTTGAAAATTAAAACCCTTCTGCGTTTGGATGCTCAAGTTTGTAATTTGCTAAAATTGTCACCATCTACTCATACTTGCCTTCAAGCACTCATCTGAACATCATAGAGAACCTTGCTGCAAGGAAATTCACGTATGACCCTTGTATAAGTCATGGTACACAATGAATGCGTGAGATCCTTGAGTCAAATGAACGCACACACTAACAATGTGGATTATTTGTACTTGATGTCTCATCCACAATATTTCTAACTGATCCACTTCCATCACAACTAATCAGCAAATCTCGTCGAAGCGACCACTGCTACTACTGCGAATCATCCGCACAGGATTCAATCGCCAAAAAACATAGATAATCCAATAGTTATATCAGCATATAAATTCAAACAAGAAAACCTAGACAGATCCGCCATAAAATCCATGAATTCAGAAGCACACGTCAGATCCGACCAGTACCGAACACATCAACTGCATAAATTTTCGAACCAAAACAGACAATACACAGAAACAAGAAATCGAGATCAATCACGCGATTCTTTGCAGGGAAATATCTCAGATGCCCGGAGCAAGAGATTATCTCAACCGAAACCACACAAAAAGATAAATGATTAAAGATAAGAATGGCAAAAACGAAAGAGGCGATTGGGAGGAAGAGACCAAACCCTCCTCGGAGAAGAGCAGGAGAAGGAAGCCATCAAGGAGGACGCCTTCGCGAGCATCGCCGGTCGGTGAGAAGACGAGAGTCTGCTAAAAGACGAAACGGAGGAAAGAAGGAACATACTTTGCGCGCTCCCGGCGGAGCCGACCGAAGGAAACGAAACCCCGAGACATTAATCGAAGAGGATTGTTCAAAGTCCATCGTGCCCCCCTACCTTTGGTGTTAGCGTTTGATATATGCACGCCATGGGAGCACCGGTTGCTGCTGAGGAGGGTAGTTTAGTCATTATATGATGGGATAAGGCGAGAAGACGAAGCTGCTTTAATATTTGTGCTGTGGATTTGATGTAGTATGTACTAATATGACCCGAATCCGACAAGCTTATGTATCAAGGATTCATTCTTGTCGTTTCGGATCAGATTCGAGTTGAACTTCATGTTTTACCCGAACCCAAATTTCGGGTCGGACTTTTCTGTTATCGGGCTCTATTAGCACTCCCTTCTCACTTCTGGCTCTTCTCAAACTATTCTTTTTCCTTTATTACATGTAGTACATATGTCATTCAATTATTTACCAAGAAAAGTTGTTACTAGACATATTTTTTTCATTTGCTGAAATTAAACATCATAAAAATTTATTCGTTATAATTTTTATTGATACAAGCTGACTTGGAATTAGCTAAATGTTTGGAATGTATGGCCTTTGTAAATTATTGTGAACGTGTATATTTGTAGATTATTGAATTTTGAGCGTATTACTATTTTTTATATGGGTGTAAAATGACTGAAATATTTTAATATTAAAAATTAAAATCAAATAATAATAGATCAAATTTATAATATGTACCTTTCGATGCTACTTAGAAAGTTTTTTTCTGATCTATAGATGCATTATCATTATATTCGAAAGTCATAAGAATATCGATCCTCAAGAAAAGTTATACTCCTCTTCTCTTCTCTTCTCTTCCTATCATTTATCGAATAAATATGAACGATGAATTAAGAATAATGAGAGATGAGAAAAGATTTATAATCTCTCAATAATCGATTATTTTATCTCTAAAATATTTTATCTTTTTATAAGCAAGAGTATGGTGTCTAAAATAAATAATTAGAAAAGTCTATCGTATCAAGGTTATAGAATCCTATCATAATTAAACATCATTTCTATCTATTGATAATCATAATCAGAATTTAATTATATCTATAATATATTTTATCTAATTAGATATGATCAAATAATTTAATAATAAAAAAATATTATCAATCAGTTATCATCTGACATATAAATATACATGTGTTAGTCCTGTTAGCATAGGGGATAAGACCTACTTCATGCCCACATGAATGTAAGTCCAAAAGAGACGATTATAAGTTGTCTTTCATTGTTGTCTAAATGAACAATAGTTCAAAGATAGGGTTATAAGCTATCCCCTAGAGGAATATTCTATGGAATATCCTCTCTAATTTTCCTTAGTATAAAAAAAATATTTTTTAGCATGGTAATCGAGGTCATATATATTTTTTTATTATTTTTACCCACCATCTCAGATTAACTTAGTATCGAAGAGATTGAGGTGGGAAACTCATTCTTTACCTTGATTTTCATGTAGGTCACTCCTAGAGTCATGAGTGCTTCCACCTTGGACCTCGGAGAGCTCTAAAGACATATCGTCCTTCCTATGTATACAAACCTAAACCATATCAACTTGACTATGATATCATCAATTCTTCCCCTAATATTTTAACACTAGAAGAAAGGTCTATGTTGTAGGAGAGTTAGCCCGTCGATCCACTCAACTAGCATTCGAATGAGGAGGCTCCACCCCCAATCCATAATACATTCACTCATGGGAAATAGTAGTCAACATTTATAAATCTTGATGCATATCCTGATACGATACTAGCATCTATTCAATAGCCTAGACTTCTCTCCCTTAAAAATGATCTCGACACATATACTTGTCTTAATCGAGGTCATTCTTAACCTTACTCAACAAGTGCAAACATTGATGGGGATGATACAAACCAACTTCTTAAATCTACCTCAACTAGTCTAGTCGAAACCAACTTCTTGAATCTACCTCAACTAGTTTAGTCGAAACTAACTTCTTGAATTTACCTCAACTAGTCTAGTCGACGGTGCCTCCAGCCCCATCATAATTCGTAGTATCACCAACACTAATAAGATTCCTCGACTCGATGTGGCACTGACCCCCCAAGAATGTCTATGACCCATCAAGCCCCCAATAAAGGGGGCAACTAGATCCTCGATTATGGAGTTTTGTAAACCTCACTATCTTTGGTTCGTCATACTTGGGTTTGAGGCACAATCCATAGATTCCACGAAAGATACCCTTTAGGCACAATTATAGTAGATGAACTAACGCTTGGAGGGCATATGTCGAGAGTTTCAACTATCCAAGAGAGAAGACTTAATCGACCTCACCTCAAGTCGATCACCATTCATTCAAAAGATCCAAGAGGAGTTTTTACTTGCCAACTTCTAACTCCCAACCTTAGAGGCATTTGATGGCTATACCGACATAGTTGAGCACAGTCAAGCACATCAAGCCATTGGGAATGTAAGCCTTTGACACTCTGAAACAACCCTTCTAAGACTTTGGCAAGGGGGATGAAGAGACGCTCTCGAATTTTATCTCCCGATTAACAAACAAAATTCGAGGCATAGTTGATGGTCATCTATCGCTCCTCATACAAACCTTTATGATGAGGCTTAGACTCTCTCGACACTTATGATCATTGATAAAGAGACTGTTGACAATAGTACCCAAGATACTCCAAAGGGCCAATTAATATATAGTCGCTGAGGCGATGGTCTCGAGCAAGTATGAGAAGTCATACAAGAGGACGAAGCAGGAGCGACCACCATCTGAATATCTCACCCAAGATGCACCTAATGAAGTAGAGGTTGAGAAGTTTACCTTCAATCGCTAGCAAGCCATCAACAATGAAGTAGATAAGTGGTTGGTGTTGTATTTATTTTTGAGGTGCAATACCCCAAGTGGCTTTCTAAGGTTCTACTTATTAAAAAATCTACTAAAAACTGACAGATGTGTATTGATTATATTGATTTCCATAAGGCATATCTAAAGGATAGTTATCTTCTCCCTTGGATTGACCAATTGGTCGATGCAATCTTGAGTCATGAGCTGTTAACATTCATGAATACCTTTTCATGATACAACCATGTCAAGATGGCCTTGAAAGATTGAGAGTACATCTCATTAATTACCGGTCAAGAAATATATTGCTATCGAGACATACCTTTCGAGTAGAAGAATACTAAAGCAATCTACTAAAAGATAGTGAATAAAATGTTCAAACATCAAATGAGGAAAAGCTTATAGGGTGAGTATCCAAAAAAAGCCTAATGCACCCTCCTCGGGGGTGAACATCTCAACGACACTAACATGCCCTTACGGGAGTGAGTATTTAAAATGCTCGATGTGCCTTTCTTAGGGGTGAGCATTTCAACATTACCCAATGCACCCCTATAGGGTGAGCGTCTAAAAATGTCTGATGCTCTTTCTTTGAGAATGAGCATCTCAATGACACCCAATGTGGCCCTACGGAGGTAAGCATCCAAAATATGCCTGATGCGTTCAACATCTTAATAACAAGACACATCTCGAGAGATCATCATCTTACTAAACTCCCACAATACATAAGTTGGCCAAGCTCGACCCGACCTCCTCAAAGAACCTAAGGTGTATAGGTGGACCAAGCCCGACCTCCTTAAAGAACCCAAGGTGTATAGGTGGACCAAGCCTGACCTCCTCAAAGAACCCAAGGTGTGTAGGTGGACCAAGCCCGACCTAACTTCCTTAGAAAGCCTAAGGTTGGCTACGCTCGACTCGACCTCCTCAGAGAGCTTAAGATACATAAGTTGGCCAAGCCTACCCGACCTTCTCAAAGAGCCTGAGGTACGTAGGTCGGCCAAGTCTGACTTAACCTCCTCAGAGAACTCAAGAATAGTAAGATTCATTGAACTCCATATTCAATGATCGGGTTGCCCCCACTATTGGGGGCTCAATGGGCCTCAAGCATTCTTGGGGGTCGATGCCACATTGAGTCAAGGAATCTTGATAAACGTCGATGGTACTATGGACTACATCGGAGCTGGAGGCACCATCGACTGGACTGACTAAGGTAAGTTTGAGGTGACGGTTAGTATTATCCCTATCAATGTCTGCACTTATTGAATGAGGTTCAAAAAGACCTTAGTTAAGATAAGCATATAGGTCGGGGTCATCTCTAAGGGAGAGAGGCTTGGGTCGTTGAACATTTGTTGTCCCCTGAGGTGGATGTGCCAAGGTCCCATATGAGTGAATGTACTATGGGTTGGAGGTGGAGCCTCCTGGCTTGAATGCTTATTTAGTGGGTCGACGAACTGACGTTTCTATGACATAAGCCCTTCTTCTAGTGTCAAAATGTTATGGGAAGAATTTGTGACATCCTAATTAGCCCGACGTAATTTGAGTCCATGTGTGCAAGAAAGATTAGATGCCACCAAGGTGTCTTTGGAGCTCTTCTAAGTTTGAGGTGGCAGTGCTCACGGCTCCAAGGGTGATCTATATAAAGATTAATGTTAGCAATGGGTCCAACTTGGACTTTCTAACGCTCAAGTTAGTCTGAGATAATTGATTAAAATAGTAAAAAAATATTTGGTCTCATTTATTTGTGTTGAAAATAATTTTTTATATTGAGTAAAATAAAAAAGGATATCCCATAGAATATTTCTTGAGATGACAACTTATAATGCGAGATAGTGGTGGGAGACAACATGTAACAATCTCCTTTAGACTTATGTCCATCCGGGTGAACAAAAGAAGTCTTGTCCTCCTATATTAACTAGAGTATCATATGGCCATATGTCAGGTAGTAATTAGTTGACATTATTTTTCTTATCAATTTTGATGTTTAATTATAAATATTTTATTATCAAAACCTAAAATATATAAGATTAAAATATATAATATTTAAAAATTATTAAAAATATCTCCACATATGTAAAACATTTCAAAGTTCAAACTAAAATATAACTATTAGGACTAAGACCTCCATCAAGTCATACACATCCAACCATTATTTGAATTGACAGTTTAATAAATTGGGTCATAGATTTAAAATTTTTAATAACAAATATAAAAAATATTACATATTATACTAAAAATATGAATATTTTTATAGTATAATAAAAGAAGATGACAAGAATGTCAATAAAAAGACACGTTAAGCAGATGAAAGAATAACAGTTTTTTTTTATCAACTAATATTTAAAAAATAAAAATAAAAATTATTTATTTTAATAATAAACAGTAGTAAAAACCTTAAAAGTACAAATATCTATGATAAAAATAAAAAATTAATTTTAGATTTCATAAGATTCAAAAGGGTTAATTAGTGGATCAAACAATGGTTTAGTATCTGATTCCTGATTTTCCTAATCTGATCAACTGGTTCAATATTTGATTTGAGGAATTTAACATTAATGCATCATAAACAGGATGGTATTTTGTGACAAACAAGTCACCAATTAGTTCATGCACACAATGATATTTTAAGATATATCTATACTAGTCAGCAATTAGTATGCATATAGTGTTACTCCGTTGCTCAAGTCAATTAAAGATATTAAGTTTTAATTTTTTTTTTACTTATAAAATGCTAAAGGAATATTCCTAAAAAATATTTTCCACTCAAACTTATGCTAATGCAAATATTGGTTGGAGCCATATCAATCACGTATTGTACTCACTGCCATCATCTCTATTCACATACAATGCAATAGGTGGACACAGCTTGTTTTCCTCGATTCCCCTCACAAAGTAGTCCTCAAGATCTCCACACGTGAAACGTCGTCGTGAAACGCGCACATCTCCCACCGTTGGCGTACCGCCGCCGCCGCCCACCTAACATGACAGTGGCATGAACGAGAGGCTTCCCCGCAGGCGCACCCTCCTACACATCACCCCAAGCTGCTCTTCAATCGATCTCATCCCAGTCAAAAGATGAGGCGACTCTCCTTGGATCTCTACACCCTCTTTTACTGCTGCATTCATCGCCCCCCTCTTAGGATCCACCAAAGCTCCTCGATCTCATCTCTCCATGCCGTCTATATATACATTTGATCGGTTCTTTTTGGAAGGACAAGAAGATACGATGTGGTGCAGCAGAGAGCGGCTTCTAGTGCTCGTGGTGCTCGGCTTATGGGCGACGTGCTCGCACGTAGCGGAGGGCGGCACCAAGTTGCCTTTGAATGGCCTGGTGCTCCATTACTACAGTAAGAATACGAAGTGCACCATGGCAGAGAAGCTGATAACGAGAGCGGTTCGCAAGGCGTGGGAGAAGGATCGGTCCATTACTCCCGCTCTCCTCCGCGTCGTCTACTCCGACTGCTTCATTAGGGTACCCACTCTGCAGCTCGACTTCCTTCTTCTGCATGCGATCCAACGCGATGCCTTTTGTTGCAGGGTTGTGACGCTTCGATTCTATTGGATGGGGAGGGATCGGAGAAGGAGGCACCACAGAACGCGGGATTGAGGGGGTTTGACGTCATCGACGCGATCAAGCACAAGTTGGAGTCCAAATGCCCCGGCGTTGTGTCGTGCGCCGACATACTCCACCTCGCCACCAGGGATGCAGTGGCATTGGTATATATACCATCTACCATATATATATATATATATATATATATATATAT